ATGTCCACATATTTCAAAAGGCTCATACATCATATAGAATGAGTTATTATTTTTTCCTTCTTACAAAGTTAAATGGATATAGTAAGTTTATTCTGTATTAAAACACTGGTATGTCCCCACAATTCACAAAAACTTGTGTATGTGTATGGTATATGTGTGTGTGTGTGTGTGTGTGTGTGTGTGTGTGTGTGTGTATGTGTTTGTTTGTGTGTTTGTGTGTGTAAAGAGAAGAAAGAAACAGACAGTTCTCCAACTCTTCCTCATTCAGGGTTGTGAAATGAGACACTTATCCCTTTGGCCTCAATTACTTCAAAGCTTATTATACATATCCTTCATCACAGAACTGGGGATTAGTCTCTCTGTGATCAGCTACTGGCACTAAGTGTGATTTTCAGCAAGAGTACTCTCATGCTAATAGAGCGGCGATTAGATGATAAAATCGTCAAGCTCTGACATGAACTATGTGGGAGATCTCTCATGGATAAGTTCCTATGGGAACTGCTGTAAGCAGACTTTTTATTTTAACTAACACAAACAAACAAACTTGTAGTCCTGATAAAACTTGGATTCATGCTATTACATTTTGAAGACATACACAGTAGGGCTGCACGATAATTCAAAAATCTGACATTGCAATATTTTGTTTTGCTGCAATTACATTTTGCGATATACAGTTGAAGTCAGAATTATTAGCCCCCCTGAATTATTAGCTACCCCCCCCCATTTTTCCCCAATTTCTGTTTAACTGAGATTAGATTTTTTTTCAACACATTTCTAAACATAATAGTTTTAATAACTCATTACGAAACACTTCTATACAGCTTAAAGTGACATTTAAAATGTTAACCAAGTTAATTAGATTAACTAGGCTGGTAAGGGTAATTAGGCAAGTTATTGTATAATGATGGTTTGTTCTGTAGACTATCGTGAAAGAATATAGCTTATTTTTGACCTTTTTAAAAAAATTTGAAACTGCTTTTAATCTACATGAAATCAAACAAATAAGACTTTCTCCGGAAAAAAAAATATTATCAGACATACTGTGAAAATGTTGTTGCTCTGTTAAACATCATTTGGGAAAATGTTAAAAAGAAAAAAAATTCAAAGGGGGGCTAATAATTCTGACTTCAACTTTATATGATATAATAAAATATCATTTCACCAGATGAATTGAATAGCTCTATTGGGAAGACTACATTCATTAAGATCAACTGGGATAATTAAATATTTTTCTATGCAGTGTATCGGCATAAAATATAATAAATTAGTATATATAAATAAGAAAAAGCAAAAATAAAAGTTTAATAAACAGTTATTTGCAGGGTTTTTTGGTAAGAATAACTGTAAACAAATTGAATGAATCTTAAAATAACATTGCCATCATTGTAAACAATAATGAAGTTTAGTCTTTAATAAACAATCAAATTTTGCGATGTGACTATTGCGGAAACACACATATCGATGCTCAAAGGATACATTGTCCAGCTCCAATACACAGTCATTCGGGGATTTTATGGGGTTATAAGTCACATTCATAATAAGTTAGTCTCAAAATTATGAACTACACTTTAAAATCACAGTCTACTTGTCTGTCAAAGAAGATTTCCCATTTCCACCTTAATGGGCTGCAAATCGCCTGCATGGTTAAGAAGCTATGGTGATACAACTTCCATCCAAATTAAGATTACCTGACATCTTTTTTAAAAAAGCTCAAATTTCAAAGCAGCTCAAATTTCTTGTCTTTATTTTTATGTGAGAACATTGGCCATTCACTCATGTTGAGCTATTTTGAGGTTTAGGAAAGTATACATTTCCATGACCCTGTTTCAAGGGGTCAATGAGATACACGAGACGGACTAAATCTTTAAATGGCCACTATTCACATTGACGCTCAGTGATCAATGACACTTAGAAGGTACAGTCATTATTTCCAGTCAATTTTTATAGTCTTCTTTCAGGTACATTGGGAATTACATTACTTTACATTAATATTAATAAAGTAGTAAAGTGACAAGTTTGTTTGAAAAGCAAACTGATATTTTAGCATGCACTCAGTCAAAACTCGCAAAGATTTTTTTTAGTTATTTATATATATAAATTTGTAATTGTATTAATGTGAAAACAGTTGCTGGGTGAATGAGTGGCTGTTCTCAGCCTCAGGTTTACCATCTATTAATAGTGTATGGGGGAGGAATGCTTCAGATTCTAGAGAGCCTTCGTCTGGTCAGAAGACCTGACAGGAAGCTGAGCTGAAGTGCAGAGTGATGTCATCAAAATTGTTGATCCGTATCAAGGGAAGTGAGAGACTGTAATTCATACATCTTGCAAAGATTATCATTGTTTTGAAGCACACCATCTTATAGACGACCTTAAAGGGATAGTTCAAACAAAATTTTAAATGTGCTCACCCCTCAAACAGTTTCAAATCTTTATGCATTTCTTTGTTCTGTTGAACAAAAAAGAAGATCTTTCAAAAAAATGTTACCTGTAACCATTGTCTTCCATGGTAGAAAAAACAATACTATGAAAGTCAGTGGTTATAGGTTACCAGTATTTTTCTAAATAACTTATTTACTGTTAAACAAACAATAAATAAATAAACTCAAACAGGTTTGTGAGATGTTGAGTAAATGACAGAATTTTTGTTTTTGGGTGAACTATGCCTTTAAAGCATATGTATGCAGGAAAAACCCTGAAAATGTAAATATTGGTATCATTGGAGCTTCAAGGGCTGGTGCAGGGAATAGAAAACCCGGAGTGGATCAACTCACTCGTGCCAAGGATAAGAAAACCCTGTCACTTGACTCCTAGCACATCTAGTACTCCAGTCCAGTTTGTTGCTTGACACACAAAGCTTGATTCTCACCTCTTCAGAGTTCTTTGAAATGTTTTCTTTGGCAGAGAAGCATGCTACAGTTTTTTTCTCTTTGAAGCCCAACGTACTGAACTTTCTCTAATGAAACATCCCTAACAATCCTGCTGTAGCAAAGAGTATTAACCAACAGTCCAAACACTCAAGTGATACGATTTAAAGGGTTAGTTACCCAACATTTTTAATGACCTCATCATTTACTCTCCCTCGTGTGGTCTTTAAACCTTTATGAGATTCTTACTTCTGTTGAACTCAAAAGAAGATATTTTGAATAATGTTAAGTGCTGGGACCCATCAAGTTTTATAAGTTGAGGAAAAAAGTACTATGGAAGTCAATGGTTACAGCTACCAGCAGTTTTCAAAATATCTTTATTGTGTTCAACAGAAGAAATTGGTTTTGAACAAGTGAAAGGTGAGCAAATGACAACATTTAATTTTTGGGTGAACTATCCCTTTAACTAAAAGGGTCTGAGAGTAACACTTCCGATTCTCTGTATGCGCTGTACATGTGGTTGAATTGATTAATCTGACTTTGACTTTAAATTGTTCTCTTATCCTGTATATGTGTATAATGACACCTCCACAGCTTTCTCAGATCACACAGCTGGATTGAAATGACAGTTGAATTAACTGGGTCACAGCTTCTTCAGCTAGACAGTCACATCCCAAACAATACAGCCTACAAAAAAATCATAGTGTTATGTTCTTGTATTGAGCCACTGAATCACATGGGGGCACTAGTGGTTACTCTAGGTTCTATTAAAGGGTAGAAGAAGAATGTGTTGAGAGAACCATGGTTGCATCCGAAACCGCCTACTACTCAGTAGGTACTGCATTTGAATTTAAACGTACAACTCGGCCGTTAGAAAAGTACGTTCTATACAGTATGAATGTAAAAAGTATGAATGGAATTCAGACGTACTACATCCACCAATTTGTCATGGTCACGTGACCTACCTGCGTCAGTTGCGTCGCTTCAGTTCCATTCATGAATTCGCTCGTGGGGCATCATGGGATAGTGCAGCGTGCATAGAATGTGCACTTCAGAATCTCGCCAGAAGTAGTAAGTCATCCGGGGATTTCTCCCATACTGATTTTCGAATTCTTTGAATTTGGACATACTACTCGGCTGGCATACTGATTTTAGCGTACTATATACTATGGAAGTATGCTGTTTCGGACGCAGCCTATGTTTTCAACCATGTGGCATGCTGAGCTGTTCACTGTTTAGCTCTGAAGCTAATAAATCTTCTTGATCGTGAAATCGTCCTCACTCCTCATGCTTGAGCAACCATTACACATAGACCTTGTATTGACTTGACTGGAAAAATGTACTGTTAATTAAGGAAATAAAACGGATGTGTCATATCTGATAAGCTGCTAAGTGTTTCCTCAGTTTATAAAACTCTTTTCCTTAAAACTTAGGTCTCAAACTGGATTCCTGGAGGGCCACAGCTCTGCATAGTTTTGCTCCAACTCTAATCAAACGCAGCTGATCTACTCATCAAGGTGTTCAAGACTACTACAGACTAACATTCTTGTGTCTGTTGGAGGGGGTTGGAGATTAATTTAGCAGCGATGCGGCCCTCCAGGAATTGAGTTTGAGACCATTGCTTTAAAAAAGTAACTTAATTCACACAAAAATATCAACCCTATCCTCATTTACTCACCCTTGAAACTCTTCTGTTGAACACAAAAGAAGATATTTTGAAGATAACAGCAAACGTGTAATCATTGACTTCCATATTTATTTTCCCATTATGAAAGTTAATGGTCTGAGATTTGTAGCATACTTCAAAACATCTTCTTTTCTGTCCAACAGAATAAAGAAACTCATAAATGTTTGGAACCCTCTGAGGGCGAGTAAATCATCAGTAAACGTTCATTTTTTGAGTGAACCATCCCCTTAACTTAGATGTTTTAAAATGAGTGCAAGCTGATTTGGCTGCGTCTCAAAGCTCGTAAGCTGACTAACGTTGTGTACAAACGATACTGAGTAGTAATGCTACCCAAGTAGACAGCTCGCTAGATTTTTGACACGCAGCCAATGGATGTGCTGATCTAACGCCAATACTACACACTTTAGTAAATGAAGCGACTTATCTATATTTGTTTCCAAGGCACTTACCATATCATAAACGTTCAGGATAACCGGCTCGTTTGCCATCACAGGAATGATTGGGGTTTTTTCTTTCACTTTAGCTGCCGACCAGCTGCTGCTGCTGTTTCTCCTCCTCCGTTTTCCTTTTCAGTTTCTCAGCACCTGGAACTAACGTTATCGTCTTTTCGCTCGTAAGCACATTTGCTGCGTCTTCTTGACATTTGCTGGTTTATAACGGTTCAGATTCATCTAAGCGCTGATCCTGACGCGGCTTCTCATTGATTGAATTTTGTTAGTCCTGCCACAGGGAGTAGCGACGCTGCTATGCTAACTGCCGTTTAGCTTTATGGCCAGAGAAGACACAAATGAACAGCACACAAGAGTAAGACAAGAACACACGCGAAGACTCAGCCATTCAGACGACGAAGTTATATTTGTAGTGAACGGAAATGAAGGTAGACGCACGTCAGTTAAAAAAAGAAAACCCTTTAGCACCCGAGAGATGGGCAGCCTCCCCCGTTTTGTGTGCGCGTTTATATATGTGTGTGTGTGTGTGTGTCAGATGATAGTGAGGGTGAACTGAGCTGAATGCGCGTGCATGATTATGCCCAGCCTCACAGCAGTGCATTACTGCCACTCTGATGCTTTTGTGGAGCAAACATCCTCCATACACGAACATTGTATTATTACAATATGAAAATTAAGCACGTCAACTTTCTCCACAGCATATGTTTTATTTATTCACGTTTTTTTTTTTTTTTTTATCGCAGGAATGTTTTATGTGAGTATGAGCACGGTATTTGTGTGGAAAAGATGACAATCCTTTAGTTATTATTATAACCTATAATTAATTATGCATATTAACTAGGAATAAATGAATTGTTTTGATTAAATTCATATATAAATTTAAAGAATATCAAGAAATCTCTCTAAGTTGAACAAAATAACGACAATGAACACTGGGGTCAAAGGGGCAGTTCACTTAAACAATCAAATATGGTCATTTACTCTTCCTTCACTTCCACACCTGTTTGAGCTTCTTTCTTCTGTTGAACACAAAAGAAGATATTTTGAAGTAAGCTGTAAACTGCAACCATTGACTGTCATAGTGTTTTTATTCTATACATGGTTACAGCGTTGCTGGTTTGATCCTCGGCTCAGTTGGCGTTTCTGTGTGGAGTTTGCATGATCTCCCTGCGTTCGCGTGGGTTTCCTCCGGGTGCTCCGGTTTCCCCCACAGTCCAAAGCCATGCGGTACAGGTGAATTGGGTAGGTTAAATTGTCCGAAGTGTATGAGTGTGTGTGTGAATGTGTGTGTGGACGTTTCCCGGAGATGGGTTGCGGCTGGAAGGGCATCCGCTGCGTAAAAATGTGCAGGTTTTCAGCTTTCGGAAAAATAATTTATTTTGTGTTCAACAGAATAAAGAAACTCAAACAGGTTTGAAAAGAGTGAAGAGAGAGAGAGAGTAAAGGATGACAGAATTTTTTATTTTTTGGGTGAACACTTTAAAAACACATGTGCAAGTGCTGTTTATGGATGGATTACCATTTTCAAAATGAATATAGTTTTTATTCTATAGGCTATGTTTGGACTGCAGATGAAGATCACACAAATGAGTGGAAGGAAATCATAAGATATAGAGCTCACTCACCAAAAATAAATCAAGATCCTGCCATCAAGTGGTCAAGATCATCAACTGCAAACTACAATTTATACCCACATGATAAATAATACTATAGTACAGTATATTATACTGTGTAGATTATAGTATTTACAGCAGGTTGTTATTGAATGTTACATCATACTGTTATATTAAGTGGTGAACAGATAAACTGTAACAATCATACTTTTGTTTTTACTACAGTGTGTTGTAGTTCAATATACTGCATACTTGTGTAAAACTACAGGATTGGGTATGTGTTATTATTGTATGTATTATCACAGAAAATATCACAACAAATTAAAAGCTTTACTATAGTACAGGGGTGGGCAAACTTGGTCCTGGAGGGCTGGTGTTCAGCACAGTTTAGCTTCAACACTAATCAAACACACCTGGACATGTTGATCAGTGTTTTCAAGATCACTAGAAATCTATAAACAGGTGTGTTTGATTAAAGTTGGAGCTAAGCTGTGTAGGACACAGGTCTTACAGGATCGAGTTTGCCCACCAATGCTATAGGTAATGGTTAAAAAACAAATAGTTTTTTACCATAACTTACTATAGTATTTTTCATGTACATATTTTTTAAACCAAGTTATGTAATTTAAGCTTTAAAAGAAATAGGGTTTGTTTACAAATATTTGTGTGAAACTGATTATGAATGTAAGGGTGGCACGGTGGTTCAATGTTTGGCACTGTTGCCTCTCAGCAAGAAGGTCGCTAACTCGCTGGTTAGTGACATCACTGTGACGGGTAGGGTTAGAGGTGGGGTTAGGTAAGCGCATTTAAAAGCATTGGATGCAGCTCAGATTGCACTGCACCAGCTCTGCATCCCGACCCCTGTCGGTTATCTGGTTTCCCCCAAAGTCCAAAGACATGCGTTATAGGTGAATTGGATAAACAAAATTGACTGTTGGGTGTGTGTGTGTGCGTGTGTGAGAATGAGAGAGTGTATGGGTATTTCCCAGTACTGAGTTGTGGCTGGAAGGGCATCTGCTATGTAAAACATATGCCGGAATAGTTGGCGTTTCGTTCCGCTGTATCGACCCCTGACAAATAAGCGGAAAGAAAATGAATGAATGTTTATGAATGGTTGCAAAACAACAACAGCAATTCAATAACATTTATGCTCATATGTTTTATAAATGTAAAAAAATAAAATGGGAATAAAATAGGGAAAGCTGAAACTGCAAATTTGTAAATGTCACATGTACTCTTGTACCCTGTTTACTGTACTTAGTTCTAGCAGTAGATGTGCATTTATCGGTCTTATCACAAGTGGACTAAATACAGGCGTAAAAGGGGTCTTAAATATTTCAGCATATTATCTGGATGTCAGCCACTTCCAGCGGTAGTCAAAAATGATTTTGATCAGATTACTTTTCCATGCAGACTACAACTACTGATCAAACACTTGATCATTATGGGATGTGTGGTGTGACAGCTTAACAAAACAAGGTTTTTCATACTTTTCTGGATCTTTGTGCCAAGACAAACAGATTGTGCTTCAAATCATAGTTGCCCTACTCACTCATAGGGCCAGACAGAATCTGCAGACAAATTTTTGCTATTTCTGCTAAGAATTTTTTTTAAATAAATCTGCGGATTTGTGTGGAATGATTTTAGGAGTATCATAAATAAAAACTTAATATATGAAATCAACAAATAATAAATTTTTAACGCAAATCCAATTAGATCCACTTATTTGATAAACAAAGCAAGTCTCTCGTAAAATATATCTACTAAAAGACATTACTTAAAATGCAAATAAATCGTTTAAATATAATAATTATTATTATTATACAAGAGCAAGCTTCTGATTGGCTAACGCAGCGCGAATGTACGCTGAAGTTCAGATTTTCAAAATCGAGAGATTCACGCGAAACGCTCATTAAACGCGTCAAACGCTCAGTTCGCCCCGCGCCATTCGCGCAATTTGCGTCATTCGCGCCGCGCCATTCGCGCGTTCCGCATCTGGTGTGAACACAGCATAAGTCATCCGGGGATTTCTCCCATACTGATTTTCGAATTCTTTGAATTCAGACATACTACTCGGCTCGCATACTGATTTTAGCGTACTATATAGTATGAAAGTATGCGGTTTCGGACGCAGCCCATGTGTTTGTAACCATGTGGCATGCTGAGCTGTTTGCTGTTTAGCTCTGAAGCTAATAAATCTTCTTGATCGTGAAATCGTCCTCACTCCTCATGCTTGAGCAACCATTACACATAGACCTTGTATTGACTTGACTGGAAAAATGTACTGTTAATTAAGGAAATAAAACGGATGTGTCATGTCTGATAAGCTGCTAAGTGTTTCCTCAGTCTATAAAACTCTTTTCCTTAAAACTTAGGTCTCAAACTGGATTCCTGGAGGGCCGCAGCTCTGCACAGTTTTGCTCCAACTCTAATAAAACGAGCTGATCTACTCATCAAGGTGTTTAAGACTACTATAGACTAACATTCTGGTGTGAGTTGGAGGGGGTTGAAGATTAAATTAGCAGCGATGCGGCCCTCCAGGAATTGAGTTTGAGACCATTGCTTTAAAAAAGTTAATTCTTAATTCAATACAAAAGTTAAGAACTTAATTCACACAAAAATGTCAATCCTATCCTCATTTACTCACCCTTGAAACTCTTCTGTTGAACACAAAAGAAGATATTTTGAAGACAAACAGATTGTGCTTCAAATCATAGTTGCCCTACTCACTCATAGGGCCAGACAGAATCTGCAGACAAATTTTTGCTATTTCTGCTAAGAATTTTTAAAAAATAAATCTGCGGATTTGTGTGGAATGATTTTAGGAGTATCATAAATAAAAACTTAATATATGAAATCAACAAATAATAAATTTTTAACGCAAATCCAATTAGATCCACTTATTTGATAAACAAAGCAAGTCTCTCGTATAATATATCTACTAAAAGACATTACTTAAAATGCAAATAAATCGTTTGATTATAATAATTATTATTATATCACAATAATATTATTGAAATTAATTTAAAAATGGAATAAATATAAATTCACACACATTTACACAAGCAAATACATAGACTCAATGATGGGCTAAAAATCTACAGAAATCTTCGGATTTCTGCGCGCACAGATTCCGTGTGGCCCTACTTATAAGCCATGTAACATACTGTAGATACTAGTGCTCATGCACCAAACAAAGAGTTCCTGCAAAAAGACGCAGAGTGAAATAACAGGAATAGGTCCCAATCAAATCTGAAGAGGTCACAAGAGATGCATTTGAATGCCTGTTGCCATGTGAAAATGGTCTCAGCTGAACACTTGTAACTGAATCACTGAAAATGCAATGGAAACAGGGTCTGGGGCCAAGCTGGGTGAATTGTTAAGATTCAGTCATTATATATGTCCTAAAGTCAACATAAAACTTAAGTATTTAGAGTCTTTTCTTACAAATTGAGAGGTACATTCAAGAGAAATCACTTATCAAATGCAGACAAAATTATTTTATATATATTCCAATAGTTTTTTTGTCAATCAGGAAGTGATTGGATGTTGTGGTTTGCCAATAAATGTTTGTAAAAAAACACTAATATTCCATATAAGATAATGCTATTGATGATTTAGTGACTTTTAACATTTCCACCTAAAGAAAGGATTTAAATTAAAAGCTGTACTAGTTTGGCCATGTTTTATGTAAATCTTTCACATTAAGCATGTGTACTCTCATTTAGGGTTAACAATCTGTTTACACAACATATTCTCTTTACTAAAAACAAATGTTTCATAGGTTTTTATTCATTTTTCTTTATTCAACAGCCTTTTGGAGAATCCTGAAAATGCAACCTTTTCAAAACACCTATCGAAGTGCAAGTATCTGTGTAAAACACAAACAAATTTTTAAAAACATGAT